TCATGATGACCAAGCCACCAACGTCAACTTATGCCAAGTCCAAATCGGCCTCGCACAAAGTAAACGCGTTCAATATCTTGATCTGGCAACCCATCCCAATGAGCTTCAACAGGTTGTGCTGCGCCTCGGGCCTTTGGGAGAAACTCACATCCGAAACTATGCAGGCCATGGCCTGGAACGCGTACAATACTCTGACACAATCAAAGCCCGGGCCAAAACGGCTGTGGACGGATGTTGTTGTTTTTTGTTTTGTTTTTTGTTTTTTCTCTGCGGGTGGTTTATGTATTTGCTGGTTGTTTTTATGCGCTGTTTGTATATGTACCTCTGTCCCTCTCTCTCTCTTTCGTTCTCTCTCTCTCTCTCTGTACATAACCTCCAACTCGTCTTCCCCCGAACCGGCGCCCCGGCGCCCCGGGCGCGCCCCTACAAAAATAACTCGGGGTGCCCGAAGGCGGGCCACTTTGGGCATCGTATGATCCTCCCCCGCCCCCTCCTTTAACCTCACTCTCTCTCTCTCTCTCTTTCTCTTCATCTGTGTGTGTTTTGTGTATCTATATCTATATATATATATATATATATATATATATATATATCAGACTGAGGGGGCCGAACGGTCATTCACTGTCCCTGGGTGCGTGGCTGAAGTGGAACTCTGCGGTGCGGATTATCGTTGTTGTTGTTGTTGTTTGTTGTTGTTGTTGTTGTTGTTGTTTGTTGTTTGTTGTTTGTTGTTGTTGTTGTTTGTTGTCGTCGTCCCACCCGCAACCCGCCCCGCGACCCACCCCGCGACCCACCTGTGTCTACATATCGTTATTGTTGCTGTTGTCGTCACCACTTGTTGCTGTTATGTTTGGTGATGTTGTGTTTGCTGGTGGCGCGCACGCCACGCAAAACAAACAACGACGTCAACAGATACATCACAGAAGCATCAAACATACAAAACAAGATCAACACACAAACACAAGAAACAAACCCCTGAGTGTCGAGAGCGCGGCGTCTGAGTAAATTGCGATGAGGCTCGAACCCCACGTAAACTGCAAGCAAACTCGAGCAGGCGCGGATGTCTTGAATGAATTGTGAAGGCGTGTCGGGCGGGGGGCGTTATTAATACAAACCAGGGAACAACGCCAGGGCGCGTCTGCCGACCAGATGATGTAGAAGACGGTTGGGATGCTGTAGACGACAACTATGGGGGTGATTTTGTGTTCTGTGTGATGACGGCGATGATTTGGATGATCATGGATGGTGGTGATGACGATGATGGATACGTTGTTGATGATATGGTGGTGATGGTGGTGGTGAGTTATGATGGTTACGATATGTTTATGATGACGGCAGTGCTGATGATGAGTATGACGAATGCGACGATGCAATGATGATGGTGGTTGTGCTGATGAAGTTGCTGATGGCGACGATGATGACGATGATGACGATGACAATGATGATAATGATGATGATGACGACGACGAAATGATGATGACGCGCAACAACTGAATTCAAAATTTCTGTGGCTTTTAAGGAGGCCAACGGTGACACGTGTCACCCGCGCGCATCTGCCGACCATGACGATGTAGATATGATGACGACGATGGTTTGGATGATCATGGGTAATGATGACAACGATGATGGAGACTATGGTGATGATGATATGGTGGTGATGGCGGTGGTGGCGCTATAATAACGGTCATGGTGGTGATTATGAAGACGATGATGGAGGTGATGGTGCTGGTGGACGCGCGCGCGTGCGCGGCGGCGACCACCGACCGCCAAGGGCGGGAGACACCCCCCCCCTGCTATCGCCAGCCAAGGATAGGGGGCCTCCTGGGGCCTCCTGGGAGCCTCCTGGGAATCTCTTGGGAACCCCTGGGGCCTGTCCTGGGCGTCCTGCGGCCTCCTGAAGCTCTCTGGGGCCTCCCGGGGCTCCCAGGGTCCCAGGGGGGATATGTAACATGTGCTCTTCTGGGCCCCCAGGCTGGACCACCTCTTGCGCGGCATCTGGGATCTCAGAGTTGCGAGAGTGTCTTATGCGAAACGGGACGGACCAACTTGCGCACGGCATCTCAGAGCTCAGAGTTGCAAGGATGTCTCAGGCGAGACGGGCCGGTGTCTCAGGCGAAGCGTGCTGCGAGGAAGTCTCAGGCGAAACGGGCCGGCCAGAGCTCCGAGTTGCGGGGGCCTCCTGGGGCCTCCTAGGGCCTCCTGGGGACCTCTTGGGGCTTCCTCCTGGGCCTCCTGTGGCCTCCTGAACTCCACCTGGGGTTTCCTGAAACCTCTTGGGGCTCCCAGGGGGGATATCTAACCTGTGGCCGCTTGGGCCCCTCAAAACGACAGGGGGGGGCACAAGAGCAGGAAAAATAAACGAATCGACACCGGATGGGTATTAACTTGACACATTCGGATAAAGGGGGCCTCCTGGGGCCTCCTGGGGCCTCCTGGGAGCTTCCTGGGAATCTCCTGAGAACCCCTAGGGCTTGTCCTGGACGTCCTGCGGCCTCCTGGAGCTCTCTGGGGCCTCCTGGGGCTCTCAGGGTCCCAGGTGTGGTCTTCTGGGCCCCCAAGCTGGACCACCTCTTGCGCGGCATCTGGGAGCTCAGAGGTGCGAAAATGTCTTGTGCGAAACAGGCCGGACCAACTTGCGCACGGCATCTCAGGGCTCAGAGTTGCGAGGATGTCTCAGGCGAGACGTGCCTGACCACCTCGCGCAAGGCATCTCAGAGCTCAGAAGTTCGAGGATGTCTCAGGCGGGCTCCCAGGGTCCCAGGGAGGATATGTAACATGTGGTCTTCTGGGCCCCCAGGCTGGACCACCTCTTGCGCGACATCTGGGAGCTCAGAGTTGCGAGAATGTCTTATGCGAAACAGGCCGGACCACCTTGCGCACGGCATCTCAGAGCTCAGAGTTGCGAGGATGTCTCAGGCGAGACGGGCAGGACCACCTCGCGCAGGGCATCTCAGAGCTCAGAAGTTCGAGGATGTCTCAGGCGAAACGGGCCGGACCACCTCTCGCGCGGCATCTCCGAGGTCAGAGTTTCGAGGATGTTTCAGGCGGAACGGGCCGGACCACCTCGCGCAAGGCATCTCGGAGCTAAGAAGGCGTTTCTTTATGTTCGTCGATGACGGGCGTCATGGGGGGGGGGAGGGCGGAGGGGGGTATGACGTGACGCCCGCCCCCCCGCCGTCTGGCTCCGGCACCACAGCCGCGCCCGCGCACACGACGCGACGAGCGACGAGCGACGAGCGACGACGACGACGCGAGCAGCATGTAAGTGGCGATCTGCCCATTGCGCCTGTGTACACCACAACGTTCGCGTGCACCACACCGCGCGTGTGCACCACAGCGCCTGCGTACACCGCAACAGCCGTGTGCAACGCACCGCCCGTGTATACCCCAATACATGGGAGCACTACAGCGCCCGTGTACATACACCGCAGCAGCCATGTGCAACACAACGCCTGTGTACACCACAGTGCTTGCGTGCACCGCAGCGCCTGTGCACGCCACAGCGCCTGTTTACACCACAGCATCTGCGTGCAACGCAGCGCTGGTGTACACCACAGCGCCTGCGTGCATATGACAGGTAGAAGGAGCATGTACGTCAGGATCTGATGCGGACAACCAAACGCCGCGCCAGGAAAGTTCTGATAATCGAATGCGACGTTTTTTCCTCCTCCCTCCTCCTCCACCTCCTCCTCCTCCTCCTCCTCCTCCTCCGCGTCGTCCTTTTCCTCCTTCTTACCCCCTGTCGTGCGGTTTGGCGTTACAACGCACGTGCGCATCTCAGCGTGCACCGCAGAATGGTCGATTGAATCGGTCCACTTGGTTCTCGGACGGCCAGTTTAGCTGGAGCCTCCTGGGCGCAAATGGGAGTTAGGTGATGCGGGCGGACTCGGGGGGACTCGTAGATTCCAGCGGCGCTCCTTTGTCCATGAGAATTAGTTTTCCATTGTTTTATCTGGAATCCACACGCGCCCCATTTTGTCACAAGGATTCCTTCTGAAATTCTATACACAACAACGGTGCTGTGTTGCACACGGCTGATGTGGTGCACACAGGCGCCGTGGCGTACACAGGCACTGCAATGCACGCAGGCATTGTGGCGTACACTGGTGCTGTGTTGCGCATGGCTGATGTGGTATACGGAGACGCTGTGGTGTACACAAGAGCTGCTGTGCCCGCAGGCACGGTGGTACAAACTGACGCTGTGTTGCACGCGGCTGCTGTGGTGTACATCGGCGGTGTGGTGTACACAGGCGCTGTGGTGCACGCGGGCACTGTGATGTACACAGGCGTTGTGTTGTAGATCGCCACCTACATGTTCGCGCTACCCGTCCTCCGTCATTCCTAACCATTCCCAAACGCCGCCGGCGCGAAACGTGACGTCGTCGACCCCCTCCCCTCCCAAAAGATTGCCGTCATCGGTCCGGACTTAAAAACAGGCTCCAGCCGCGTCCGCGCGCACGACGACGATGAGCGACGAGCGACGCGACGACGACGACGAACGACGACGACGACGACGACGACGACGACGACGACGACGACGACGACGACGACGACGACGACGACGACGCCTGCGGACCAGACACCTATGCGGATTCCTACGCGGACACCTACGCGGATCCCAATGCGCACGGCGGCAGTGCCCGGAGCGCACTGGGGGGGGGAGCGTTACGTCATGGGGGGGGGGGAGCGGGGGCCATGACGCCCGTCATGCCCCAAGCAATAAAGAAATGGCCTCTAAGAGTTTCGAGGATATCTCCCAGGCGAAACAAACCGGACCACCTCTCGCACGGCACCTCGGGGCTCAGAGTTTCGAGGATGTCTCAAGCGAAACGGCCCAGACCACCTCTCGCGCGGCGTCCCGGAGCGCAACTTTTCGAGGATGTCTCAGACGAAACGGCCAATCCCGGCCAACTCAGAAACGAGAGTTGTGAGGATGTCTCAAGCGAAACGGCCCGGACCATCAAATTTGTGTGAGGATGTCTCTGCTCCCGCTTCCCTCGGCCGGAGTTAGCTTCTATCACAACAGCACCCCGTTCAGCAAGCTGTTTGGGGAAAAACGGGATGGGCAGTAGAGGGGAGTCGGAGAAATCTAGGCTGGGCTCCGGGATATTGCCGCTGGCCTTGCCTCGTGAGATCTTCTTCACGCGCGGAGTGAGAAGATAGTGGGCGGTAATTGGTCCGATCATCCCGCCCATTGGTCAGGTACGGCTGATCTGTCTTCAAGCTAAACTCGACACGCAATGGCGTAACGTGACGATCGACGAATGATACGGATTATGATGTTTATCAGTTCTAGTGCGAAGTCCAGTGAGGGCCACTCAATGGCTGGAAGATGTAGTACGTAGTCATCTTCCCGCATGCTCAGTACGGTCACACAAAAATTGCCATTGCAACCGATGACACGGAGGAAGAAGCCTGGCCGCTCGATTGCCCTTCTCAGAGGGACGTATGCTTGACACAAGCCGCTGGTGGAGTCATCACGTCAATGTGGTCGTCTTCGCCAAGCAGACCTCCCACGGCAAACCCTGCTCGCCCTAAGTTCTTCACGTAAACGTTCAAATACTGGAGGCCAGTGTCCGTACGTCCATGAACGACTTTCAACTGAACCGTACCAAACGCAACCCATTCCGGAGTACCAACTACGCTTTGCGATACGTCGTAATGATATCCGCCGGCTCGCCTGGCCTCTGCCCAAGACCCTGTAACGTTCACCTCCTTGAAGTACATATCCGCACAACTTCCACCCAACTGGTGCGCACTGGCCTGCACACGAAGCAATGCGTCTTCGGCGCTCATGCCACGGGGAATGTTTATGAGAACGTGTGTGCCCGGCTTCATCAAATCGAACCGCTCACCATAAACGTTTTGAAGGTGGGGGTCGCCAGTGGCAGCCGCGCCTCCCGCTCCACCTGCCATGGGAGCTGCAGGAGGAAACGTCGGATGTGGAGTCGGCCAGCCTGGAGGATACGTCGGGCTGGGCGTCGGGCTCGGCGTGGGGAAGGCTGTCGGGAAAGCCGTCGGGAAAGGCGTCGGGAAGGCTGTGGGGAAGGCCGTCGGGTACGGCGTCGGAAAGGGCGTCGGGAAGGGCGTCGGGAACGGCGTCGGGAACGCCGTCGGGTACGGCGTCGGGAAGGCTGTCGGATACGGCGTCGGGAATGCTGTCGGGTACGGCGTCGGGTACGGCGTCGGGTACGGCGTCGGGTTGGGCGTCGGATTGGGCGTCGGGTTGGGCGTCGGGTTGGGCGTCGGATTGGGCGTCGGGTTGGGCGTCGGATTGGGCGTCGGGTTGGGCGTCGGGTTGGGCGTCGGGTTGGGCGTCGGGTTGGGCGTCGGGTACGGCGTCGGATACGGCGTCGGGTACGGCGTCGGGTACGGCGTCGGGTAGGGCGTCGGGTACGGCGTCGGGCTGGGAGTCGCAACGCTGCACACCTGGACGTTCGCGGCAAAGTGGTAGTTGGTAGCAGCACCAGTTCTCCCAGTGAAGGCCACCTGTTGGCTACCAACTGGCGATGAGAAGCTACTAATCCACGCAGTTTTGTAGTAGTAGCCGTTGTCAAAGTTCAGTATCACATTTGCACCGCTGCCACTGGGCGTGACCTCAATAATGACATCGTGCCAAGTGGAATCCTCGAAGAGGGGAACGTTGGTACTCCAGTGTACTGAGCCTATCTGTGAAAAGATTGTCCCGCCATTCCATCCCATCACCACGCCATGATCGTCCCCATTGGAATAGGAGTCAAAGCACACAGAGAAGCCATTCGGAGCAATGTCTTCGCCAAATTCGCCCGTATCATAACCGCCGTACTTCATGCACATACCGTCAGCGCCGCCTGCCGGGCATGGTATTGCGTTGTCCCACGCAGGGGGGGAGTGTATTGCCGCGGGGAGGGGTATCTATTTGCATCATCCCCCGCAGATGGATATGGGGAGGAGGCATTGAAGTGCCCCTCGAAGGGGGTATTGTCCAAGGGAGGTGGTGCGAGCGCGAGACCAGTTGCTCGGATCTACGCGAGTCGACGGCTGGGGGACCTCGCTGTCCGACCGTAAGGCGCCCACGTGGACCAAGTTCAGCGCCGTAATCGTAGTCCCCTCCCCGCGAAACACGATTCCCCCTGCGGGGAGCAGTACCATGCCCCCTTGCCGCGACAATACACTACGGTGCCCCTGCGCGGGGCAACAAAATACTTCCTCTTCCTCCTCCTCGCGGCATCACAGTCGCTCCTGCGGGGGACAGCACCAGATCCCCTCCCCACGACAGAACAATACCCCCCTGCGGGGGACATTACATACAATACCATGCCGTCTGCGCCTGATCCACCGCCCTGGTACATGTCGAAATTGATCCGGAATCCCCCCGTGTTTGCCCACGAGTAGTACGCTCGTCCATACTGGCTTCCCGCGTTGGTCGTGACAACGATTGTGTTGCCAGAGATGTAGGAGTCGTACTGGGCGGTGAAACTGCTCGCAGCGATCGAAGTGCAGGCCCACGCAGAGGTTCGAGCCGCGGGTGGCATCGCAGAGTCACCAGTCGCATGAGCCGTGGACCCCGCCTGGAGAGAAACTGCCATTGGCACGCCGTGGGCCAACGCCCCCACCAACCACACGATGCAGGGTGCCCTCTGGGCCGCCATCCTGCAGATCGAAGACGGCTGCTTCCGCGAGCGCGAGAAGAGCTTGCCAGCGAAGTACCGTGTAATGTGTACGTGTACGCACAGGACCGCGATCCCAGGATGCTTGAGCCGGATGGAGCGGATCACACATGCTGTCCTCGATGTGGCACTCCTTTGGCGCCCCTCCGGAAGGCCCTGCGGGGACGCGCGCGCGCGCCTGGCGACAGCAGGGGTGGCCGAGGGTGACATCACAGCTCAGGCCTGGGCCTGGCATCTCTGACTGGGTCCCCAATCGGTTTTGCCGTCTCGCCTTGCGCTTCAGATGGGCTTCTGAAGCCTCAAGCTGTGGAGAGCATCGCGAGGGGCCCACAGACGTTACCGAATGCCCCCGAGAGCGCTCCGGGAACGCATCAAGAGGGCTCTATTGAGTCCGCCCCTCTGTTCGCTCGACGTCCTCCAAAATGGCTCCAAGATGGCCCGAATGGCTCCCAAACGGACCCCAAGAGAGCCCCCGAAAGAGCTCCGAAGGCTTCCAAGATGGCCCCAAGATCCCAACCAAGCTGCCAAGAGGCTCCCACACTGAGAGATCCGCGAAGGCATCTAGTCCTAGGTCTGCTCAGGCTGATCCCGAGCCTTCGGATTGACGGCCGACCCCCCTCCCTCGCACCCTGTTCCATTGCTTGCTCCTACACTTCCCTGATCGAAGCAACTCGCCCAAGCATCGCTTTTGGATGGGCTGGTGGGGATACGCGAATCGTCAAACATCGGAATTCGCTGATAGCCGGCTCGCTGACGAGCTTGAAAAACAAAAACGGGATGGGCAGTAGAAGGAAATCGGAGAAATCTAGGCTGGGATCCCGGATATTGCCGCTGGCCTTGCCGCGTGAGATCTTCTTCACGCGCGGAGTGAGAAGATAATGGGCGGTAATTGGTCCGATCATCCCGCCCATTGGTCAGGTACGGCTGATCTGTCTTCAAGCTAGTCTCGACACGCAATGGCGTAACATGACGATCGGCGAATGATACGGATGATGATGATGATGATGATGATGATGCTTATCAGTTCTAGTGCGAAGTCCCAGAACGGCCACTCAATGGCTGGAGGGGGTAGTACGTAATCATCCTCCCGCATGCTCAATATGGTCACGCAAAAGTTGCCATTGCAACCGATGACACTGAAGAAGACGCCTGGCCGCTCGATTGCCCTTCTGACAGGGACGTATGCTTGACACAAGCCGCTGGTGGAGTCATCTCGTCAATGTGGTCGTCTTCGCCAAGCAGACCTCCCACAGCAAACCCTGCTCGCCCTAAGTTCTTCGCGTAAGCGTTCAGATACCAGAAGCCAGTGTCAATACGTCCATGAACGACTTTCAACTGAACCGTACCAAACGCAACCCAGTCCGGAGTACCGGCTACGCTTTGCGATACGTCGTAATGATAGCCGCCGGCTCGCCTGGCCTCTGCCCAAGACCCTGTAACGTTCACCTCCTTGAAATACATATCCGCACAACTTCCACCCAATTGGCGCGCACTGGCCTGCACACGAAGCAATGCGTCTTCGGCTCTCGTGCCACGGGGAATGTTTATGAGAACGTGTGCCCGGCTTCATCAAATCGAACCGCTCACCATAAACGTTTTGAAGGCGGGGGTCGCCAGTGGCAGCCGCGCTTCCCGCTCCACCTGCCATGGGAGCTGCAGGAGGAAACGTCGGATGTGGCGTCGGCCAGATACGTCGGGCTGGGCGTCGGGCTCGGCGTGGGGAAGGCTGTCGGGAAGGTCGTCGGGAAAGGCGTCGGGAAAGGCGCGGGGAAGGCCGTCGGGTACGGCGTCGGAAAGGGCGTCGGGAAGGGCGTCGGGAACGCCGTCGGGTACGGCGTCGGGAAGGCTGTCGGGTACGGCGTCGGGAACGGCGTCGGGAATGCTGTCGGGTACGGCGCGGGGAATGGCGCCGGATACGGCGTCGGGTATGGCGTCGGGTTGGGCGTCGGGTTGGGCGTCGGATTGGGCGTCGGGTTGGGCGTCGGATTGGGCGTCGGGTTGGGCGTCGGGTTGGGCGTCGGGTTGGGCGTCGGGTTGGGCGTCGGGTACGGCGTCGGATACGGCGTCGGGCACGGCGTCGGGCACGGCGTCGGGTAGGGCGTCGGGTACGGCGTCGGGCTGGGAGTCGCAACGCTGCACACCTGGACGTTCGCGGCATAGTGGTAGTTGGCCAGCTCATGCGACGTCACGGCTGAGCTCCCGGTGTCTGCCACCACATGCAAGCAAAACGTCGCGCCACGCACCAAACGTGCATGCGCAGTCGGACTCGCTCAGCGTCCTGACAGCTGCAGGTAGGAGGGCGTCGCACTGGCACCGCAATGCTTGCATTGGCAAGTTGAACAGCTTAGCCGAACGAGGGAGGCACGCATCCTGATCGATCCCAGTTATACTGCAAATTCGGCCTGGGTTGAAAGCCGCAAACGACTGTAAGATACTCCACGAAGGGAACTCAGCGTGTATGACAGATATAGCTAAAGCAACCCATCCGTGCGCGTGCGTATAGGCAACGCCCAATGAAGCTTGTGGCAAAGCCCCAGCCCAGCCTATTTGGTAAGGAGTTCCGTTGATGTGAAAAACCTTTGGCCGAGTAAGTTTGTCGTGCAGCATCTTAGCCCACGTTGCCGGCAATGCGAACGCTTGCCGCTGAATAAAAAGCACTTGTACTCGACGTGCCCACTTAGCGAGTGCAAAGTTCAAGTCGGAAACTTCATACGCCTCCGCATCCAAGAACCTGATGAACTCCAGCGATATCTCACCAGCCTCCGCCATGAGCCCAATGAGCAGTGCCCGCGCGATCCCTTGCTGCCCAGACATGAACTCGATGAAACTCTGGAAGTCCTTGCCAGTTTCGTTTCCATGACGTAAGATGCACACCTTTTTAGCGAGCAAACAGATCTCATCGAAAAACACGATTAAGCGAATCAAAGGCCGCAGGGCAGAGTCACAACGATGCTTGGCGTTCGACATGTTTCAACATTGAGAGATGATATCGACGCGATACAGTTCGATATGTGGGAGAGCTCAACATTTTCTGGGTTTTGACTGATCGATTGTTGGAACAATCTCTGAAAATGGTCACTGTTCTTCACCCGCTGGATAACCGAGGTCGGACCCATGACGACGGTGTCAACGATGGTCTGGATTGCGCTGATGGCGCCCCACGGGCGCTCCATCCTCGCGGGCAGTAAGACACATATTTGGGGCATGGCAAGAATTCAACTCTTACTTAGGCTAAGATAAAAGGGTTCGGCGGGGCGCCGCTAGGCTAAGGCTAATAGGGAAATCCCACCAACCCTCTGGGCGTAGGTGGTTCCGGGAGTTTCCTCTTCCAACCTCCTTCATCCCCTTCGGGGAGGGGTTCACCCCTCTCCATCCTCCCCTGGACTTGGACGGGGGGGGGGGCCGCTGGTAGTTAGAGCGTCCAAAACGGCCTCGGCGAGGAAGCCCAAATCATCGGTTTCGCTAAGGCTTTGGCCGTGGAGGCCCCCGAGGGGGGACGCTAATTGGGGGGGCCTCCTTCCTTTGATCGATCACCTCCAAGATGGCCCCAAGAGCAGAGCGCTCCCAAGGCTCCCGAGAGCACCCCAAGACGGCTTCAAGAGGCGCTCAGGAGGCCCCAAGAGGCGACCAGGAGGCCCCAAGAGGCCTCCAAGAGTCCCCAAAAATACCCCCAAGAGGCCCCCAAGAGGCCCCAAGAGGCTCCCACGCGGCACCCAAGAGGGTCCGCCAAGAGGCCCCCAATACGCCCAAAGAGACCTCAAAGAGTACCCCCAGAGACATCCCAAGAGACTCCGCGAGGCATTCAAGAGGCCTTTGACTCTTCTGATCGCCCTTATCTTCCTCCTCCTCCCCCTCATCATCACCATCATCCTCATCATCACCATCGCCATCACCATCGTCAAGACCACCACCATCATCGTCATCATCAGCATCATCAATATCAACACCAACATCATCATCCGCCTATTCCTCATCCTGCTCCTTCCTCCCTCCCCACCCTCATCATCCTCCTCCTCTTCCGCCTCCGAGTCCCCCCCCCCTTGGGGTGCGACGGCCTCCCCAGCCCCGTGTTCCTCTGTATGCTGCTCCGCTTCCATGATCACCTCTACTCGCCTGAGCGTCGTTTCTGGATGGGCTGGTGGGGATACGCGAAGCGTCAAGAATTCAAATCGACATCAGGCAGAAGGGGGGGTAGGACTTCTCGCCCCCCGGGGTCCTCCTTGCCGCGTGCGTCGCATCCTTCAACAGCAATTTTGCACGGGGCAGTAGTGAGTTATGATTATCGTGGAAAGCGTCTGTCACCATCTCTCCAGCCGCTTGCGCGGTTGGATCGCCGTCTGCATCGAAAACCTCACGCATCGTCCTGACATGCTCGAACAGGCTTCGATCGAACATTGGAAAAGGAACACCCTTGGCTAGATAAGGAGCTCCGTGACCAGTCGTGCAGAAGTTGGTCACGGTTTGCTGCAAGGCCTCTGCATAAGCGCTCGCAGCATCGGGTTGATCGGCCTTGACCTTTACAAAATCTGAATGACCAAGCACGCCCCTGCGAACGGACAGCGTGTCCAGCCTACCAGCTGAGAACTTCACAGTAAACATGTGTGTTCTCCCATCGGCATGAAACACAATAGAATTAGATGTGCGAATGTGCTCGCGATCTAAACTCCTGAGCCCCTCCGCTAGACAGAACTGCATCTGAGTGATCTTCTTGCGGTGGCCGATGCCACTAATGGCTTTGACGGCGCCGCCATGCGATCGGTTCTGCAGCACTTTCAAAAACGCAGTCTTGGTCGGAGCGCTGCGTTCGGCCCTCAGTTCGCTTGCCAACTTGACGCAATGGGGGCGCTTGAGCAAAGCAGCCACGCTATCCTTATGCGACTGCGTCTGGGCGTGCGACTCGAACCGCCCCACCCTGATCCTGGCAACGCTTCTCCCAAATTCGCCTTGAGAACCGTTGAGGTGACATGCTTTGCAACCAACGCCGTAATCTTTAAAGAACAACCAAGAACCCAGGTGCGGCTGCTCTACGCACAAGAGACATGTATGTTGCCATCTAGTTTTGGTGAGCGTGTCTGGTTGGGTAGCCCGCTGAAGTTTTACCATGATGGAGCCAAAACGGCCACGGACTGGCAGTCGCAGCATCACTTGAAACAGGTGCGAGCACGAGCGTGAATGAGGCTCGGCTTGCATTTCCCAGGCAGCGTTTGCACTCAATGACGGCCTTCATTGATTGACACCAGCAAATCCCACCAGCCCTCTGGGCGTAGGTGGTCTAGAACAGATCCTCTTCCACCCCTCCCTCTTCCCCTTTGGGGAAGGGTTTGCCCCTCCCCCACGCCCCCATTCCCCTGGGCCTGGACGGCGGGTTTCGCGAGCGGTCGGACGGCTCTTTTGGCCCCAAGATGGCTTCAAGAGCGCGTCAGAGAGCCCGAGATGAGCTCCAATATAGCTCATGGCCCCTAACATGGTTCCAAAAGACCCAAGACGCCCCCCCGTGGCCAAAGAGCCCCCCCAAGGTGGCCCCGAAGAGGCCAAAACCGCCCCGAAACCTGACGAACATCGATGCTGTTTGCGTTCTCCCCGTTTCGCTTCGGATGGCCATCCAAAGCCTCAATATGGCTCCAAGATGGCCCAAGAGGGCCCCGCAAGAGGCCAAGAGAGCCCCAAGACGGCCCCAAGAGCGCCCAAGAGCGCCCCAAGAGCGACCCAATAGGCGATGTTTGGAGCTCCTGAGGGGGGGGGGGGGGGGGGGGGGGGGGGGGCTAATTAGGGAACCCCCCTTCGTTGATCGATCTCCTCCAAGATGGCCCCAAGAGCGCCCCTACAGACCCCAGAGAGACGCCCCAAGAGGCGCCCAAGAGGCCTCCAAGAGGCTCCCAAGACCCCCAGGAAGCCGCAAGAGGATCTCCGAAATGCATTTCAGACGCTTCTGGCTCTTCGGTTCGCCGTCCTCTTCAGTTTCTCATCCCCCTCCTCCTCCTCCTCGTCCTCCTTCTCATTTCTCCTCCCTCTGCTCCTTCTCCTCCTTCTCGTCCTCTCCCTACTCCACATCCCCCTCCTCATTGTCCTCCTCTTCCTCCTCCTCTTCCTCCCCCGCCCCCTCCGACGAGGATTCCTTCTCCATCCCCCCCCCCCCTCTTGGGGTGCGTGGCAGCTTCCCCCGCCCTTTGTTATTCTGTATGCTCCCCGACTTCCCTGACCACCTCAACTCCCCTGGGCATCGTTTCTGGATGGGCTGGTGGGGATACGCGAAGCGTCAACAATATTTGCCGCCGTTGGCTCGCAACTACAATGTTCGGGGCCCATGCGTCGACATAGCGTTTTGCCAGTAGTTGCTTTGGTATGTTTTCGTCCACGATACACGCGCCCCTGCCCGTCGCCATGAGGGCCTCGCCCCTGTCCGAAACACCCAGTACTCCCACCATCACTCTTCGCATGCCCCCAGAATCTCTCTCCCCGATGGCCCATCTCAGGCTCTGCAAGGAGGAGGCGGAGGAGGCTAAGGAGTAGAGCGAGGAAAAAAGGAGAGGGGGGAAAGAACGAGGAGGAATTGCCAGGGATAGGGGCATGATCCACGTTCAGGAGGAGGCGGCGGGCTTGCGGAGGAGGATGGAGTGCGCAACCTAAGCCAGCGACGACGACGACGACTAAGGTTACGACTGGGTAGGCCCGGGTCTTTGGACTTCCTGCGATAAGCGCACTCTGGGGCCGTGGCGGAGGCGCGTGCTAACTGGGCCGTCCATGGGGCCCTTGCTTAAACTTGTTCCGCGTCGTTTAAACTTTCGTAGGTGGTCGAGACAACCCTGTTTTGCAAATTAAGCGGTTTTTAAGTTGAGACCGTTCTCACGCGACGTTACCGCGCGCAGGTGGTCACACCATGATGACGCGACTACGCGCAAGGAGCGGTGCCAGAGGCATTCGCTACGCAAATCACGCTAGCGTCTGGCACCATTGCAAGCGCATGGTCGCGACGTGGTCTTGTGCCCACGCTCGTGCGGAATGCCGTGTGAGCACGGCGCTAATTTAAGAAATGATCAATGCGCATCAAAGTGGGATGGACGTGGAGGGGGGATGGCGAGCACCATGATGATGACGATGAGGAGGAGGACGAGGAAGAGGAGGAGGAAGACGACGACAACGACGATGACGATGACGATGACGATGATGATG